CATTTGCAAAACTGAATTGCTTGGAAAGGATCTTTCGCATGAAAGTAAGAAACACTTATTTACTAAATTTGTATTTAAAAACTGTCCTAGAAAGTGGTAGAAAATGCATGATCTTTAATTTTCCAAAATTCTCACTTCTCTTTAAAGAAGAATATATATCCTATTGACAGTTCATGCTGCATGTGCAGTTCAACATTATGGAGAAAGAGAAACCTTAATTTTTTCTATTCATAGAGACACTGGCTCTCTCTATATATATATTTAATAATGCAACTTATGACATTAAAAGAAACTGGCCACATTTTGCCATTTTTATAACTTTAATTCAAATGATTTCCTACTTTGCAATTATGCTTAACAAATATTTTCAAAACAGGACTTTTAATTGAAGTAACTATGTTTTTCCAATTGATTTTCAAATTTTTTTCATGGGATTCAATGAAATAATATTCCTCCTATTTTAGTCTGAATGTTTTAATTAATAAAATTCAATAGCTTTGTTTCAAAATTATAAAGCAGGAATGTTTTTTTCTTATCACCATTTATAGCCTTAATGTAAAAAAAAGAAAAAAAAAGTATTTAAATTAAAAAGATAATTATTATAAAAAGTCTAAAATTTGTATAATGAATCTTTGAAATTGAATAGTTTTCACTCATTTGAAAAGGTTATTCTGATATAAAACAAATATTAAATAATATGTGTATAAAAAGAAAGTCCAAAAAGTGGAATGAGTTTTTCTAGTTTTAATTAGTGCGCACAACATATAATTAGTACATCAAGCATAGATAAGATTAAATGCCAAATCAGTAATTTTTTAAAAAAAACCTGCCCACAAAATTTTCAATATCCAACTTTTAGCCACATGTAGTGCATTTTTCCATATTTCTCAGATGAATTAAATCCCTAAGAGAAGCTTAAATTAAGACTGTTTTAGCTTGCTGTACACATTTATGTGCATAAACTAAGGTATAATTGTTTGTATCCAAATGTTAACTGAATTCACACGAATTTCTGTCAGTATCATTTATGTTAAAACACAAGTCACACACTGAATAAAGCACACTCAAAAATTATTATATATTTATAATATATTTATTTATTTATTTATTTATTTTTCCTGCTGTGTTTCATGTGTTACGTAGTTCAATATTCAAGTATCATTCATTCTATATAAATTTAATGTTTTACTGTGTGCTAAGTTTCTCTGGAGAAATATCCCTGTCTATAATACTTAAAATAGTGCATATAAGTATACAAATACACATATAAGCAGAATTATTGATGAATAAATCTGCAGTTCAACAGAGGTACAAACTTGATACTTACATCAAACAGTCAAAATATTTATATGTATGCATATGAGTATTAAACAATTTAGTCACTTTGTTATCCTCATGATAAAGCTAACCCTATAAGTAGAAATGGCTCATTGTTAGTTACATATATTATTATTTTTAATAGTATTTGCAGATATAAAATGTAAAACTAGAGAGCTAGAGTAAAGTTTACCAAATAAATTACCTTAGTATGAATACATAAAATCGGCTACTCGTATTAGAATCTGTTTATATTTTTAAATTGAATGAGAGGAAACTAATCACAAAATTATAACAAGGTCAAGTATTATAAATTTTACTGCCCTTCTAGTTATATGTGGTAATTAATGATAATGAAATGACCAGCAGATAAGTGTGTTTACATACAGAATTATGAATACTTCTCTAAATGTAAGTGTTTATATGCACATAACAGAGATAGGCAGAAATATTTAAATTAGCATTTAATTAAATACTTTTATCCGCCAGATAAAATTAACATCATCAATATGCATGATGCATCATTTGTACTGTAGTCTGTGCTTTAAAATAGATGTCTCAAGACAAAATCTCTCCCTCCTTTTCGCAATTTTCGGTAACTATGGGAATGTCTGTCTTTGATAAGACTAAAACACTAAACACAATTTTCCAAATTTTATTCATAGCTGGAAATTACCATCTCAGATGAAAAGGAGAAAATTATTTCAGTGGGGATGCATTCTAAGCAATGTACATCACCGTTTACAATTTAGAGATAATTACAATTTTATGTGATTTCCTATGAATTCCTTTGTCATTCCTAACAGTTGCATTCATAAACTGACACTGAATTGTACGAAATACAAATGCTTATTAGAAATAGCAGCTGGCTGTATATGCCTGAAAGGAAGGATGTGTAATGAAGTTATATGCATGCACTTATACCGTTGTACTTTTATCTGCAAGATAATTTGATTCAAGGAATTAACATGGAAGAGATATTTATTATTTTTTTTTATTGTCTCTAATATACTCTAAGTATTTGTGTATGAAGTGATGTTATTTCATTTTTACTGAGTAAGAATTTTACATAATTTGTTTTCTAAAATTAAAATGTTGACATAATTGAATTTATAAATTCTAAACAAGTTTTAGCCCCAGTGGCATCAAAGTTAAGATTGCAGAGCACTGATTATTTTAATCTTAGCACAGTGTTTGGAGTATAGATGTTTATGTGATTTTGCGCATGTGTAACATAAATATAAGCAAACTTACTTTGGAAATTCATTCACAAAGGCATTACTCCTGTTACACAGATAAGGTTTGCATACCGCTTTTTAATCATTTAACATATCTACTGAACAAAATTTACTTCAACGACCAGGTTTGACACTTGCAGCTTGAGTTTTGATGACTTTGACAAGAAAGCAGCCAAGAAAACTACTCATAAACTTAAAAAAAAAAAAAAAAAAAAAAAAAAAAAAAAGGAAAACCTACTAAGATAGTTTCTAATAATTTAACTCCTGTTGCTGAATGATAAAACTCAATAAAATATAAAATTTCGGTAAAAGTTTACTATTGGGTGCCCCTTGTTTTTTGGCGATTCTTTTTTTGACGCCAGAAAGGCACAATTTAAAGATGGCCGCTAAACAAAACCAAAATAAGAAGTCAAAGAATTGCACAAACTCTATGTACACATCGATCTGTTTTAGCTTTAAAAAAAATCCAAGAATTGCACAAACTAAGCATTGCGCACTGCCTTAAATTTGTCCATGTACACATCAATCTCTTTTCATTTAAGTAAAATCAGGAAACAAAGTTAAAACTATCATGGTAACCAGAAGTGAGGTTTCATCGCCAAAATTTAAAAAAAATTGTCGCTAATCGAAGGGGCACCCGATTCTACTCCAGAGCCAAAATTTCTTAGATGTGTGCGAAAACATTGAGGAATCTAGCTCAGATGCAGACTGTCTGTACTTTCTGATGTATAAGTAATATCTAGGAAACTACTATTTAAGTACTGTTAGTTACCTGGCGTAAATTTTTTATCATAATGTGCACCCTACAAGTGGCATATCACTTACATAAATTAATAATGGCAACCCAAAGATAAAATTCTGCTCATAAATATATTTATTTCAGTCTGTCTATTACTCACTTTTGATTAAATTTTATCACTTAAATTTTGACTTTCTTTTTTTGTGTACTGCTATCTATATTAGTGAATTATTTTTTACATTTGGTCAGAAGTGCCTCCAGGATTTTAGCAAAAAATATAAGGCAAGGAATGTTGTGAATGAAACACATTCGGGAATATGTTGTAGGAGTTCCATGGTGAGGCAAGACACAAGTATAAAATGTATAAACTTTATTTAACACATCAATTATAACATTCCGATGAGAAGGGAAATTCCTGCTTCATGCACACCGCTTTCTCTCCTCACCATCTGCCGCTCATCCGAGGCGGGCATGCGCAGTACCAGTGCCTCCTAGATTCACTGGCAGTACTCCTTAAACTTCGTACGGTGTTTCCATAGTAACACTAAGGCCAAAGAATCTCTAAGGATCTTGATATTCTTTGCTAAGGCTCCTCTAAACCAGGCTGAATCACCAACTTTTCTCTCTTGGCGAGGAAGGGAACGCGCTGCCAATTTTGGCACACGTTTATTCGCACTGACACTGGCTCAATGTTTTTTTTTTTTTTTTTTTTTTTTTTCAAGATTGATTTTATAGACGCGCGGCATTCAGCGCATATAAATTTTCAGATAATTTATTAATTCTCGAATAGTATATAGAAGTTTTCACTTAAATAAAAATTTCGCGTATATTTTGTAAACATATTCAAAATAACTTATTCTTAGATGTTTCAGTTTAGTTAGCAGACTAAAATAAATAAGATATGAAAATAAAACCTTTCAATAGTGTCAAATGGAAATAGTAAATAGTTAAAGTGTAGAAGTGTGCAAATAAATTTATCTTAATGACATTTTAACAAAAATTTCAATAAAAACACTGTAAATTCATACTCAAAAAATAAGTTTAGAATATGTTGTCATTTAAGTCTCAGGATATCTGGAAATAATTGTGCAAGACTCTGAAGAAACATTTTCTTTTAATGTGTGAAATATTTCATAACATATATGGAAGAAGAAGTACAGCATTCTGAGTTTTGGATGCTTTTCTCACCAAATGTAATATAAATACGAACTAGAAACCGTAATAAAAAGTCCTTCCCTCTCCAATCAGATCACCTTTGTGTTGCATTGTATTTGTAATACTTCTAAAAATTCCAATTTTTACCTAAATTAAAAAACTTTATTCCATAAAAGATAATAAATTTGAACACATATAGAATGAATTTTTGTAATTTGAGTTATGTTACAAAATAATTCATAGTTTATATATTTTATACTAATAATTTAAATAAAAACCTGTCCTTTTCCAATTTAAGAATGTGTGTTAACCATATTCTTAAATTGTAAAAGGACGACTTAACCACATGTAATTCATTTCAAAGCATAAAGAAAGCTTATTTTTTTTTTACACACAACAGCATTTTCATGCAGTCAAGTTTTTTTAATTGCTAGTTATTATACATAATACTAGCAATCTATAGCTGTTTTACAATTTTCACATATGCTTTTTTTTCAACAACTTATTATATATAGCTCCTGCGATGTAATGTATATCATTTTCTTCCACAGCTGGGGGCAAGCGACGTTTCACTGCCACTGCAGAAGAGGTAGATGGCACTACAGAATTGGAGATAGGATGCAAGACCTCCTTTCTGATAGCAACCTCTAATTCAGAAGCATCAAAGAGGCTGTGGTCACTTTCAGAACAATAATTTGGATTATTGATATCTGAAATGAACTGTGATAGGCACACTAATTTCAGTGCTCTCTTGGCTTGCAAAGCAGTAGGCTTTGCACCCGACTTTCGTCTAATCTGTGAAAAGGCATTTTCCAGCGCATCTTGTGTCAACCTGCCTGGTAAGAAAAATGTAAACCCCTCGGAAAATAATTCTTTTGAGAGTTTCACAACACTCAATGTGCTCATAATAATGCCAGTTTGAAATGGCTTCCATGCTTTCCCAAACTGAACAGTTTCAGTCACATGAATGAATTTTAATAAAATATTAAATTTCTCATCTTGATTTTTGATAGTGATGCCTTTTTTTGGATGCCTTGCAGTCATAATTGTAAACCATTCTGCTACAAGTCTCAGCCACCATGCAGAAGTTAATGCTTCTTTTGCAACTTGGTTGTAAAATAACTGCTTTTTCAATAGCAGCAGTAGCTGTTTTTACAGAAAACAATTGCACAGCAGATGCCACATTCATCGAAGGAAAAGTGTGTTGGGAAGAGATGAACTCTGTTCAAGTGATGTAGAGATCTCAGGGCAGCATCTGATTCTATCTCACTTGACCAGAGTCGTTTCACATACACTGAAGATACTATCCTCGATGGCAAGGCATGCTGCTGGCGAAATTCCTCTGGTAATATTAGAATACTTGAAAAAGAAATGCATTTCTCATATTTTTAATCAGATGTGGTACATCTGCAATACTGTGAATGAAAACATCAGGTCCTCCAATGTTGTAATTTGTCTTCCTATCTGTCCTAGAGACAGAGACATCCAATGAACGACCACATTGCTCTGTTATTGCTTCCCCATATCTGAAACAGAGGCTCTTACAGTTAAACCTATTTCTGTAGCTGCTACTACAGTTCTATGAATTAGATCTTTCATATCAGAACCTGATGTTGAAGGCCCTGTCAAATTCATTGGCAACAATCTGTTTCCATGATATTTTAAGCCTCTAAGCATTACAATAGTGTAATGCTTAGCAACTGCAGGTTTTCCTAACGTAACATTTCCAATGACTGACTTAGACGATGTATCAAAATCTTGATATGAAGCTATTTCCATTTCGTCAACTAAAAGGCAGCAGTTCCTATCAAGAGCATCCAATGAATGAACTTTTGTCTTGAGGAAAAAAAAAAAAAACAAATTTTCTAAAATGCCGAAATTTATTTTTATGTCCCTAATCCTCGTGTTCAAGGTACTGTATTATGGTGCTTGGTATCGAGTACTTCTGAGGTAATTATATCCATGTTTGCCCAAAGCAAATCGCATTTTCAGTCCTTTTGTAATGGACTTTTCTGACCAGTTCCTTTTTGACTGCACAGCAAGGGCTCATACTTGCTCATCGGACAAAAATAATGTCAATTTTGCATCTTTTTCTTGAAGCTGTTGCTCAAGGAATTCTATTTTTTTTTAACAACTCTTCATTTGAAGCAGAGTAGAGTTTCCTAAATTCAAAAAGAAATAGTAAACATGTTTATGCTGTGATTATTTTTTTAAACAATGGTTGGATGAATTAATATATTTGTAATAACAATGATTTTTTCAACAATTTTTTTGGAGAATATTAAATAATTTACCATTTGGTTTCTTCTAATTGGGTATTTGGCTTAGGACATCTTACTTCTCTTATCCTCTTGTCAGTTACAGATGGTGGTGGATTTGGAATGCTAAAGAGTGTTGGTACTGCAGTTTTTCTTAGTTTTTTCCTATCTTTGCATAGTGACTCAAATTGAGATTCCTCAAAATGATCCTGTAAATACATAAAGTAATAAAAAAAAGTATACAAAATAAATAAAAGTACAAAAAAAAACAAATCACACAGTGAGGTTGTGCCAAAGGCAGCAAGCATGAACTGTAAGTAAGTATAGGCAATAAATAAATATGCAGGTAATTAAATTAGGCCCAGTATTATAAAAAGCTGACTGAAACATATAACAAACCATGTCTAACATATCAGCAGCAGCATCTTGTAAGCTTGGGCAGAATTTAATTATCCAATATTTATTTTTTGCCTATAATTTAAAGTGTTCTTTAGAACATTATCCAAAAATTAAATGAAGTAGTGTTTTGCTATAAACATTAAAAACAACTAAAATAAAACTTTATATTTCTTGCTATAGTGCTCTTACAATAGATAAGAACATACTATGAGTTGACTTCACCCAACTTTTAAAATACCAGGCCGATAAATACATTTATAATTAGAGCAGACTATGATTCTTGTTATAATTATAGTAATGTTTATTGCTCTAATTGAAATATTTAATTTTTAATTTTCTAATCATTCAAAACATAGCCCTAATTTGGGAGCACAGTGCCAACATGCATTTTAAAAAGCATCCTGGCCAGTTTAAACGAAATTTTTTAAATTACATCGGCGCAGACATATCCAATTAAAGTTATTAAAAACTCTAGAACGTAGTTCAGTAACTTTCTGAATTTGTAGGCAATTACTTATTTAGGGATGACAACACAAAATAACGTTTCAGAAAATATTTATCATGTATAAAATCAGTAATAACTGTTTATCAATGTCATGAGGATTTAATTTGATGAGATCACATTCTTTTGAAGTATTGAATTCATGAAAGATTTTGGCTTGGCCTTTGAAATTAATCATTACAGGCAGATTTATTTGATTGTTATGCATGCATTAAACACTACACATGCATTAAAAACACTACAATTATTTTTGAAAAATACACATGCAGAGTTTCACAAGTTTTCTGTGCTTATCTGAATGTTCTGCATTCATTTCTAAATCTTTACTCCATTGCCAAATTGTATAATACTGTGATTATAAATATATGGTACTTGCACAATCCTTGCAATTATTGAAATCAGATTATATATATTTTGTCTCACACTATTCAATTTATTCTATTGACTTCAGATGTCAATGTCAAAATTCTGGAAGTTTTTTTAACCAAGAAACGGTAGTGGGCACCGTGCATAAAACAACTCATCTAACTTTTTAACAATAGTGATTATAAAATAAAGAAAAAAAATTATATATCATTCCAACGATATTGCAACTATAGTATAATGTTACATATATCTTTAGCAAACATTCAGATTTTATCTTGACTTTCCAAATTATTCAAATTATATTTTTTTTTTAATAAATTTCAATATGCTAATGATTTTCATGTTACATTAGTATAAATTCCACAATTAGCACAGGAAAAACAAAATCTGCGCTTTATATTAGAAGAGAAATTTCTTTTCCACATTCAAAACATCCACATTGGCGATGTTTGGCGACGGGTACATTAACCCTAGACTAATTTAATTATAGCTATTATTACAGAAATTAGCAGATACTTAGGTTATTGTACACAGAATTTCACTTTACTTGCACATTATAAACATCAGAGAAGATATAAACTCTAAATGAAGGCGTAATTAACATTATACTTACTAAGCAAAGTTCAGCGCCTGGACCAGGTTTCCAATTGTCTCTTCGGCAATTATTTACCCATATTTTTTCTTCTTTCTTCATTTTTAGGAAATTTTACCAATGTATGACCTTTCCGTGAATGATTTGAACAATTAATAGCTGCACATTCCGCCCATTTTACACAAAAAAACACAAAAAATTGTTGCACCGTAACTACACAGCCGCCATTAAAACTCCCACTTGGGATCCCGAAAGCCTGATGATTCAGCCTGGTATATAGGAGCCTTAATGGAGGTACATGCCACCACACTGATCTACTACAAGCTCACTCACTTTAACACCATGTGTGATTTTATCGGCCGGATTATCGGTAATTTCCCCGCTTCTCTATGATTTATATATTAATGATCTTCCGAATATTGAAAATATTCTCACTGCATGCTATGCCGATGACACGGCACTTTATGTCACTCACTTAATCCATATCATGCAAGAAATAAACTACAGAAGCCATTAATTACATTTCAACCTGGTTAAAGGGTGGAAAATTAAATTAACCCCGAAAAATCAAAAGTTATTACTTTAAAAAAGGAAATATCTCTCAAGACTTAGAAGAAATTCCATGGACGGAAAAATCCGTGTCAGTGACCACCAAGTAAAATATAGGTGTTTATCTCGACAGAAGTTAACTTCAAATTTCATGTTATTATTAAAAAGCCAACGTGCCTTAATAAGAATATCCCGTTGACATTGTTCGAAGTTAAATATCAACCGCTAAGAAAACTATCTCAGGCAGCCGACCCATAATTCTAATGCGCTCCGCGTGGGCAGCTATGCACGTTCAACAGAGCAAGGCTTCACAGTTTCAGAGTAAAAAACTCTCAGATTCCTATCGAACTCTCAGTCGTTAGGAACACTGTCATCATAATTCTCTAGATTTACCTTAGATGCCGAATTACTAAAGATTACATTAAATACGAAAATGTGATTCCTCCACTCACGAAGTTATTGAAACATAGGGGGACGACTATCAATCAAACAGCCGCATGGCCCAGAACTATACATCATAATGTTAGATGTAGTTCTTGTATATATTTTTATTTTCAACTATTTAATATAGATTTGTTCTTTATTCATTTTCTTTACTGTGGAACTTTGCCCGGTACCAAGGCTGCTGCTTATATCACGTGACAGTTACTTCCCTATGAGTGAGATATAGGTACTTTCGCCTCAGACGAGCAGAAAAATTCTGGGACTTGTTATATTATTTTCCATTTTTACTGTACAATACTGTCAAATTTACGATAATGTGTAAAAGATATGCAAAGTTATTAGTTGCTATTATTGCTTATCCAACGAAGACTCTCTGTGGCCGAATATGGCGTCACCCCTCTGATCAACTTCTACTATGAAGATTTGCATTTATACAAGTGCACAGGACTTACCATTTTTATGGAATTTACGAAATATTACAGGTCCTTAGGGATTGATAAACGTTCAGTGTAAATTTCGGGTCGAACACACTTACAATGATGATCTCCAGCCGGATTATCTGAGCCAGGACAATGATGCCACATATTCGCGGATGTTTTATCTTGAATTTCGGACACTCGATTTTGTACGAATGTTTTCCATCGCCGTAGTGAGTTCTTTATTCAGTGAAGGACAATAAGAAAATCTATCCATAAATGAATCTTAGGTTGAGGAAAATGCACATGGACTGTTAGTTACAAGTCTTGCATCTAACACAGCTGACATGAACTCGAGTCTTGGTAAAGATAGTATTTTCAGGGGAGCCACTCTGCTCTTGGCTATCACTAAACTTGCTGCATAATATTTTAAGCTATGGAATTTCACGTACACTGCTGCTCTGTAAGCACTTTGAG